TGCTCACACTAGGATTCTTCCCCAAAAATTACTGGAAGGGGGCAAACCAGGTAGCTGTGCACATTCCATGGACGTTCAACCCTGCAGATATAGCCTTTTCTCAAGTAAATAGCATATGAACTTCCCTAAAACCCTCGAAACTGCATATATTCCATCTACTTAAGGGTGACTATATTCTATTGGACTCCACGACACTAACAATGCTCCGAAGTTAGGGCCTCGCAAAGATAATACCATGTACGGCAGGAGCCCGGAGGGGCTCTATACGCCCGTTCCCCATAATTAGGCTCCTCCCATGGTCTTACCCAGCACGGGCGTAAAGTCTGACATGTTTCTTCAATGTCTGACCACCCTAGTAATGGGTGGGAACGGCCTAAGCAGGCCGGGTGGGCATTTAGTGCTTGGGGTTTCAAGTTGTTGCTCAAACGAGCTCTGAGGCATTCGTAATACAGGTTGGGTACTGCCTCAGCCCAGGAACAGCCTATAAGACAATTGGCATTAAGGGCTATACAGTACTATGGTATAAACATTACCTAGCCTTTTACTGGGCGGGGGCAGTACCGAAAGTATCAAAACCTCAGCGCACCCTTTAATCCCAGGCCAACAGGATTTGCTTCAGTGTGCACCCAACACCCTAAACCTAAGGACCAGGCAATAGACCCTGAAGCCAGCCCTGTCGACCCTCCCAATGAGTTCCGATCAAACTGTGAAACCCTTAAAGCACAGAACAAACCCCAGATGTGCAGGATCACCTTGGGCCTCTTTTCTGGAAGAGTCGTCGGTACCTGCATCAACTTGGCTGAGGCTCATGATTCCCTGCTTTTCTCTGCTGCAGGCCTTACAGAACCCGATTTCCATTCCAGTCAAAATGCTGAGGCTTGCTTTGTAGGGTGGGGACTACAGCATATTCGGTGCACAAAGCCGGATGACTAATGAACATGGGTTCCTGATCAGGGACTATGTATAAGCCGCTGCATGCACATGTCGGCATTCTCTTCCATTGTTGGCAATTATTCAGGCTTCAAACCCTAAACCCTTAACCCTAAATAGCAGCTTCCAATTCTATTTTCCATTATCCCAATTAATATAACCCAGATATTACTCCTTCCTCTGAAAAGGAGCCCGCAGCCTCCACAGCAGCTGCAGCCATTCCGAGCACCGATTGGCCTCAAAGTTTTGGGTTGTACCCATTGGGTAATATTTGGGTTAGAATGGAGTTATATGGGGAGAATGGACAATAAAATGGAAACTACTATTTAGGGTTTAGGGTTTAGGAAACTACTATTTAGGGTTTAGGGTTTAGGGTGGGTACCCTCAGCAACGTGGTTTCCTGATTCTGTGATCCTTGACTTCCGCCTCAGGCAATGCTGTCAGGAACCTTGAAGAATGGCTACATCCTCCCTACCATACAAGACAGGGGTTGTTCTCCACATCCGGCATCCCTGCGAATGCAGAACTACACGCTGAATGCGTGCATCCTCTCTAGCCTCATTCACAATTGCAAGACTATTTCCCTGCAAAGCCCGAATTACCCAAAGGAACATCACCCTGAATACTCTTGAAATCACAAGCAATATCTTTAACAAAGAAATCCCCATCTGTAAGTTCCCCCAAGCCCCATGAAACCCCATATACACCGCAATTTCAAGTGCTCCATCTGTCATTCCCCATGTTAGGAGGTAATACCCTCAGCACGCAAACCCCAGACATTAAACCCTATATGTTTCCAAACCCTAAACCCTAGTAAGTAGGTCCATTCTGCATCTGGGCTTGCACACAGCCTGCATGTCCTAAACCCTGAACCCGACACCATAAACCATAAACCCTTTTTGTTGGGTACTGCCCCCCATCAGTAACAGTTGGATAATAAGTATAGTATGGTTATATATAGCCCCTAATAGGACCCCTAATATAGACTGCTACTGGGTGGGGGCAGTACCCAGCCTTTTTGCATCTGGACATCCGCAGGCTCTGCCAGACTGAAGGGCACCCCATCATACAGTGCTGCTGGCTGAAAGTGTCCAAGCTCTTCAGTAAATCTACAGAAACAACCCCATACAACCATACCACATCTCTGAAAGCAAATTGGTAATGTAACTGGTGCCAAAGACTTGCGTAAGCTTCCCCTAAAACCCGAAGCCCTAGGACCCTGAACCCCTAAGACCCCTTAAACCCTAAACCCTAACACCCTAGGACCCTAAAACCCCATCTAAGCTTTGGCCACCAAGAAGCCCATCGGCTCCCTGGGCTCTGCTAAGGCCTCGGCTTGGGAAAGGGGCTTTGGAAAGCTTACTTGGAGGTTCAGGGTTTTAGGTTTGGGGTGTAGGATTCAGGGTTTAGGGTGTAGGGTTTAGGGTATGGGGTTTAGGGTTTAGGGTTCAGGGTTCAGGGTTTAGGGTATAAGGTTCAGGGCTTAGTGTTTGGATTTGTGTGGTTTTCACCCGAGGCTCTGGGGCAATCATACCCCGATTCGACGTATAACCCAACTATTCTTGGTTCTACTTGGATTATAGGTACTAGTCATCACTGGGTGATAGTTACGCCGAACCTCCACATCGGGAGGGATAAGGGGCCGGTAGAATGTTTTGACGGGCGGTTAGGGAGACGGATTACACGAGGACTAGTCAATTTTGAGATCAGGGCTTCAGGGACCAGAAATTTTTGGGGGCTACACGGCTTAAAAGCACTGACTTTACGTCGAAGCTTCGAAGCTACTCTTGAAGCCTGAATCATGTGACCACCATGTTTTGGAAGCTCGCATCGGCCACGTCTTCTCGAGCAGTCAGAAATCTTAACAGTTGGCGGGGCGGGGCGCTTGCCCGGGTACAAGCTGATTTGAGGGATCACTCGACCAAGTCGCAACCATGAAGAACCCAAGACAGCCTGACTTCCCAAAATTCTTGCGTCTAGAACCCTAAACCCTTAGTCTCCAGGCCTTCTTCACATCTCCCAGCGCATTCTGGCCAAACATGTCCTGTGCCTCGCATGTGGCCATAATCTGTCTATAGTCCCCCTTAATGTCTTGAGGGTTTAGGGGTTTAGGTTTTAGGGGTTTGGGATTAAGTGTTTGCCCCCCTTAAAAGGATAGAATATGGGGTATATGGGGCTCTTACTATCATACACCCCAAGCCATATTCCATCTACTTAAGGGGGACTAGATCAACACATGCTCCAACTTACGTATTGTGCTGCTGACCCAATCTGTTCTGGAGTTTCGGGGCAAATGCCGCAACCATAGGAAAGACTACAAGCACAATTAGGCTACAAGGCCTCAGCACAAACTTGGGGTTTAGGTATTAGCTCTGAGGGCCTTGCCAAGTAGAGATATATGTATATATATATAAACCCAATTACACCCCTGACAACGCAGGGAGGGCACGGTTCTAGCGTTTGGAGGATGGTGGGTCGAAGTCACAAGCCCCTTCAGCCCTAAACCCTAAACATCAAATACGGGTACCTACAAAACAAGCCAGGACCACCAAAGTCAAGAGGAACTTGCTTTAGGATTTAGGGCTTAGGATTTTTCTAGATTACCCCTACCCAGAGAATCCAATGCCGCTTAGTTAGGGAATACACCTTAAATCATCCCAGGAACCTTAATATCTTCCTCAATTAAGGATATTGGGCTCATGGGAATACCATCCCCAAGAAAGAGACCTATATTCCTCTACTAGTTCCCTTATAACTTATATCCCTGAGGCCCTGGAGATACTTGAAAATTCGTGGGTAAACATAATCTAGGTGGACCTTTAACCCAGTAATAGTGGTATACTAGGAATATAAGAGGACCTCAATATTATCCCCATTATTCCTCACAGTGACTATTGCAGGGTGTGGGTCCACCTAAGGGCCAACATAGAAGGCAAATATAGTTATGACTAATTACTCGTGGGGTGCCTACAACTCTACCAAAAACGACCCATGACCCTATGGTCCCTTTGTTATTCCAGCACGTCCGATATCATAGCCCTTAAACTCTAAACTCTGAACTCTAATCCTTACGCCGGACTCTAATCAATAAACTCCTTTCATGCCCGTTGGAGATATCCCCAATCTTGGGGGCGCTGCCACATTGTCCCCTCCCAAGACTTTGACCTCAGCGCAGCTTTGACAAAGGGGACCACTCGGGAAAAAAGGATTTGTCGAAATTGGCGCCCCTGGGGATCCCAAGCCAAATTTCTGAATTGCAAAAGGATTATGGGGGCCCTTGGCTAGTGTTTTGGGATTGCCTTGTGCGTGCTCATAAATCCAGACATAAAGCGATTGTAGCCACTGAGGGGTAACTCCCCCAAACTAACAATGAACCCCCGAAAGGGGCCGAACCTTTTGCAAGGGTCCATCTTAGCTGGGGGAGGGTAGCTTACAGCTTTGAGGATGCGCCCCCTGCCACGCAGGTCAAACAACATGAGCCAGCATCATGCACGGAACGACACTACCGCAATGCGCACGCAATGAAATACCCAACCGTACTTTCCCTCACAGGCACTTTCTGAAGGTATATAATCAAGTTTGATCAGTCAAGACCACCACTCTGACTATCGGTCAGTGGCCGGACCTCATAGTGAAATAGTACATAGCTTCCAATGGGTCTCCATAATGAGGACTATACTATTCGGGGTCCTATACAGGGGTCCCCCTGTTTAGGGGAAGGGAACTACCATGTAGATTCACCCCTGCATTATCCCCAACATCCCTAGGACAGCTCCATAATCAACCATTTTCTCAACCACCTAACCGCTGAAAAGGCAATCAGGCAGCGGCTATAGCACTCACACAAGTAGTTCCCCTGTCGAAGAAGTAGCTTGCATGTTCTCAACATTTTCTCTTGGGGGGTTGCCCTACATAATCCCTACAACATAGAACTTTCCATGTTGTTTTCAATTCTCTCTTCCATTTGAATCTCCACTACTACGGGTACTATCACCAAAGCCTCTATATCCCTACAGAATCCCTAAATATCCTTTTTTTGTCCCCACATAATCCCTAGATGACATTAAACCCTAAACCACGAAGCAATCGGGCAGGCCCCGGGCATTCCGTGCTTGTGGCCGGCCGCCTTCCACGACCAGGTCGAAAGAGACGGTCTCGCCGGCCAGGAGTCCTTTGGACATGTACAGTACAGTTTTTAGGGCTCAGGGTTTAGGGTTTACATAAGGTTTAGCGTTCGCCCAACGCCTAGGGGTCTCCCACAGCCCAAATCTCATCGACCGCGTCAAGTTTGGCTTGGCTTGGAAGTTTGGGGGGGCGGGGTGGAGGGGTATAATTACGGTCTCTTCAGCTGTAGCTACCTTGACCTGTAAAACGCAGTATTTCGGGAACCCTCATGCGAAAACACCGCATTCATGTTCGAAAGTGTGCCTACCAGAACATCCATGTCCAAACTATGATAACCTTCATGTTCAAGAGCATCCCATTACCAGACCATCCATGCCCAAGCCATAACAATGTTCGTATTGCACGTGCATCCAAGTACCAGAAACGCTGCGCCCCGTGGGACGAAGTCTATGTCCTTTCCGGGAGCCCTGATGCAAAAACACCGCGCGTAGTGGGACAAAATGCATGTCATATACAGCTTCTGATCGCGCGAACACAGAAAAAAGCCTGACTATCACCGCTGCGTTGCGTTTGCTACACCCTTTTCGACCTGTAAAACACTGTACTTTTGAACAGGGTCTAAATCTGGCCAGGCACCTCTTTGAACGTCCAACATAACACTTCTCATTGGCAGTGTGCCACAACCATGCGTCTTTGCACATTTTCACTCCTAAAACGTGCAGCATTCTCATCTTCAATGAAGTTTGCGCGCGGATTTTTAGAAGAAAATACCGCACAGTCGTCACCGTCCGTTCCTTGAACACACTAACCCCTGCAAGCAAAATACACTGCAAGACGCAGTAGTTTCTGTACCTTTCACACTGCATAGCATAAAGCCCGCATGGATCTTCCGGAGAACCCCTTCCGTCGCGCGTTAGGGTTTAGGGTGTGGGGTTTAGGGTTTAGGCACTACCATATACTTTGATGGCGCCCAAAACTATTTGTGAATAGCTTCCCTTCTAGAACCAAAAGGGAGATGAATAGTTATCCAAATGCGCCACCGCTTTTGCGGCATTCCTTGCACAAAGCACTTGGAACGCACCCAAGCGTGTCTTGACCGAGGAACATACCCTAGACCAAACAAAGGTTCCTAGCATTATTTAGCGTGCATGTCTTCATTGAGGGGTTTTGGACTCTGGGATTGTGTGAAGCAGGCTACAGGACATATCGCGCCCGTTCTCCATAAAGTTACCCTGACGGTCTTGTGCTGTCTTCATAAGCATGGTCTCCCCTAAACCCTGAACTACAAATCCCAAGCCCTTGGATAGGTAGGTAAAGAAGGTTTGAGGACCGACATATAACCCCATTCTAATCCCAATATAACCTTTATATAACCCTATGTAATATAATAGTTTCCACTTTCCACTTTAGTCTCCATATCCCAATATAACCCCCATTTAACCCCAATATGTTCCTCCTGTGAATTCTTGGCGGCTTTGTGGCTAGGTATGCAGGGGGCCCAATAGCCCCTAGTCAGGGGGTGCAAAAGATGATGGGCACCACTGTGTTCTTTCATTTCGGGGCCATACTGTTTAGGACTCTAAACCCTAAACCCCTAACCCTGAACCCAAAATAGTTTAGGGTGTAGTTTTCCCATGACGCCCAGGAATCCTGAGTTAAGCAATTCCCTGACATGATGCCGGGGGCCTTTTCTTGATTTGGGCTATATGGGGGGTTCCTAAAAGTCGGGGTGCCACTCTGGTGGTCCCTATAATTAGGGGCTATAGGGGTTTATTGGGGTTGTATAGGGCTATACAAGGGTTATATAGAGTTTCGAGGTGAGGGATTCCTAAAGTAGGAATACCTTTAACAGGGGTTTTTATAGGGGTTCTATAGAGGTATATAGGGTCTAGGGTTTCACAACAGTACGGGTACCGGGTACCAAAACGGGGGTCGCCTTATTACGGATTATAATATTTGGGGATTTAAAAATGGGCTCCCCCTGTCTTCGGAAGCTACCATCTTCCTCAATTGAGGGGCAATGGGCTCTGTGGGTCGGGGCTATCTGGCTATCTGTTACTATCGGAACTTGGGGAGAGTTTTTGATGGATTAAGGAAGAAAACTGTGCCAAACTTTGACGGCAACTGCAGAAAGGACCAATGGTCTTGGGAAAGCCCCTTTCCTGCCAGAAAGCGCAGGATGCTTCTCGGCAAAGCTGTCAAAATCTGTTGCGCTTTGGGGGTTGGGGCAAAGCCTCCTTGAAGGTGATTCGATTGATCTGTTGATGTGCACCACTGCATGGGTTCTTTCAGTAGGTATATGTCTGTACTCTCTCCAGTGGGGATACCCTGGGGCTTGCAGGGATCTCTTACATGATCATGAGTCACCATGTCCTGGGACAGGCTTGTGGGCTTTGCTACAGCTAGAAGGGTTCTACATTTACAGCAACCCGGAAGCCCACGATACCACCCATCTTAAAGAATGGGAGGCTCAGTGCGATGTGACTCCATCTGCCAGTGGACAAGGCCCTGGCCGATTCGTCCGATGAGGTGGGAGTTGTAGACAAATATGTCACGTGGAAAGTCCGGCACGGTTATGAAGCCAAAGCCTGTCCAAACAGGCGCAACTCCTTAGAACATCTTAGAATGTAGACCGCGCTCAATGGCCAACAAAGTTCCTGGATCTCCGGAAACACCAGCGGGTACAAGAAAATATTTGGAAAAGTTGAAGATGCAACTGTCTCAACCAACAGCAGAAACGCAACCTGCCTTTGCGGGTATTGTAGCTCTTCACTCTGCCGATCACACGGTTGGCCCTCGGTATGAAAAAGCATAAAAACGGACATCGTTTCTGAGGTTTTGAAGTTTGGAGGGGTCGAACGCACAAACCATCATAAACGCAGTAGTTGCGAATCCGCGCTGGAGTTGGCTGTTCGGAGTTCGGGGGTCCATGTGTCTTTAGAATCCAGCATGTACAGGTTCAAGGCCACAGCTAACAAATGTTCAAAGCTACTGTTGATCAGTTTCTCGCAACATCTTCCAAACGTTATTATCCCTGGCTTGTACCTTGCTCCATGTTAAAGAACTGTTGGCAGAAGCTCTATACTACGTACTACTGACGGCTAATGTTCTTAGAATAACTAACAATACTATTTCTGTTGGTCCTGCTGCGGCTGGTTGCTACTGCACGTGCTCTATACTTCATTGTTGGCGCTGTCATCCTTATCCTCATTTCCGAAACATCCACGGCTGCAATGTCGCCGCCACAGGAATCCTTGCAAAGGTCGATCGTACTACCTAGGCATAAAAGCCCGAGGCTTTGCATGCCTCCTTTCACTCCTTAAAGTCGCCCTTAGTCTCTTCTTGTCGATCCCTACTCTAAGCACGCGCCAACCTCTGCAGAATCCAGCAAAGCCCTATAGAATTGCAATTCAAGAACGTTTGGTGCGTAGCCCACAGGGCTCCCCACGTCGCCACAGGCGGTGCACTGGGCTTCTGGACCACTGGCCGGGGAGCTGGACGCTTGATGCCCATCAAGGGGCCCAGGTGGTTCTCACCAATCCTGGCTGATTAATCCCCTCCCCCTAATGTTCCCAATATATTCATAATATACCACCATGGGGAATTTTCATTAGGGGGCGTGGGGGGATTTAATATATGCTAACATAAGGGGGAGGGGATTGCAGAAGCTTTACTGGTGCAATGTTGGAATCAAATAATGAGTCTAGAAAGATTACATGCGGGTTTGGGCTCGAGGTGAACTGCTTAAGGCCCGTCAATCGACACCAGGACGGTCGCAGCAAGGATTGCAAAATCGTGCCAACGGAGTTCGCTTTTTAATGTCTCTTGCATTTGTAACGTTTGGGAAGTCTTTTCCCACTTACACGCACCAGGCTGCGCAATGATTCGATGAGGCAGTCGGCAATCGGGAGAACTGGATTGAAGTAACAGCCTCAAGCGACCTTGAAAGTCAAAACAAATCAGCGCGAAACACCAACGCAGGGGGAAGTGATGGTTGGGTCCCTGGCATTTTGCCGCCCCTCATGTTTTAGGCATCCATAAGGGGACCCCTAAACCCTAAACCCATAAAGGAACCGTGATTTTCACAACCCTCCATATTGGCTGACCATCCTAGGTCCACGTTCCTGGAAAGACAGAGGCTAGCACCTTTTGATGATCATACCAAAAAGTGGTTTAGGGTTTAGGATTTGCGGTTTGGGCTTTTGGTGAATGAGCTATAGTCTAAACTCCTAGCATCCCCCCTAATAAACCCCTATAACGGGATACTCCTAATTTCTGCAATGGCCTAGTATACAAACTTGCAATTCGCAAGGCATGCACAGTCTCCTTGGCAGAATGTCCTTGATCTGTGAGAAGATCTCGCTGCCACCGGCCTGTCCAACTTCGCCAAGTCACGTGCGGCTGCGTCTCAGAGTATGGGGCCCCCTCATACCCTACCTTGAGGTGGGTTAGGGCACAACCCAATTTCTAGCCTCCCAAGTCCAAAAGCATGGTTAGAATGAGGTTATAAAGTCACAAGTACAAGTTCTTTGTACAGTCACCTGAGCCTCCAAGCAAGTCAGGCTCCCCACAACTACTTGTCACCACAAGGGATAGGGATAACACCAATCATGCTAAGGTCCAAATGTAGTCCTATGCTACCACGAGTACTGGGTGGGCCTGACCCAACCTTTACCGCAAGAATTGCAAGGTTTTGCAAAAGTTTTGCTAGTTGTTAGGGTTTAGGGTCGTTAGAAAGGAATAAAGCTATGGAAGACAAAATGGCAACTACTCCATTATCGGGCATCATATAAGCTACAGCCCACATTTCCCACATAATTACTGCACATGGGTTACTATTGGAATGATGTTAGGGACTAAACTAAAGTACCAAAGAGACCCCTATCCCTCTAAATTTGAACGCTAGCCTTTTTGCATCCAGGACTCTTGAAGGAATGCCGGGCTTTGTGAATAATCTGCTAAACCCTAAACCCTGATCCCCTACAGTCCCCCTCAAGTAGCTAGAATATGGCTTTGGGTATGTTATAATAAGATCCCTATATAACCCATATTCTATCTACTTAGGGGGGACTAGAACCTTACAGTCTTAAATAAAAGTAACTTGACGTGAAGAAGGGAAGCTGACCCGTAGGCATCCTTGGAACCTTTGAACCCTTCTGAAAGCACGAAGAGCTTCCACACTACCCGATTCTAGACTAGTGACTAGACTAGGCACGTGTCACAATACTACAAGAACATCCTACATTCTACATACCCTGTCCCAAAAAATCTACAAGCAAGCTGCCGCGTACAAGAAGCCTGCAATGACATTTTGATCGATAAGTGGCATAAGACTTTTTAATGCATTCCGGAAATGTATCCTGACAATATCCTGAAGTCTTACAAGGTTCATGCTGAGGGTGGCACCAGGCTCTTCACGCACTGGCAAAACAGCACAAGCTCCTGCGGTTTTAGACGTATTCTCTCCAGTCTGGGGAACATTAAGTAGTGGGATTGCCTGATATGGCTGCAGCCTTGTTTCCGAAAAATCTCTACAACGTGGGTTCAACGTTCAGGAAAAAACTGGGGGTCCAGGAGGTAACGCTTGATCCTAGGAGGCCTTCAGACCCTGTTGACCGTAACCCAAAAGTTAGTCCCCCCTTCCACAACCCTAGGCCCTCAAACCATGGCATACGACCTTGCTGAGGCACTTGAAAGATCAGATGGATCTTCCTCATTGCTCTCTAAAGATCCTATTGAATCTAGGGTATATTCCCTGATTAACGGATATTGGATTTTCTGGGTCTGTCTACAGCTGATAGGTATCGATCTAAGAGCCGCCAAGGAAGCTTGACAAGACCCCCTGGACGGACCCAAACCTGCAAGACTCCTCGGTCTCTTTGCGCTTTGGCTTCGGCTTGTTCGCGGCAGCACGAATTGCAGCCTTCAGCTCCTGTCCAGGCTCCCAGCGGCTTCTGCTTATCATCATCAGCTGCCATCAAACTGTTGCAGCAAAGGGGAAGCGATGGAAGTTGGATAGTAGCAAGACTTCCTGGTTCTTAGTGAGGAATGAGCGGATCTAGTCCCAAGATAATCCATGTATAATCACAATGGCATACTGTATATTCCCTTATTCCCCAATGACCCCCAGTAAGAGCAAGAGTCATGGCCAGCATCGGAGAAAGGAACCTCTAAAGCCTAAACCGCTCAGGCCTCGATTGCCTTGAGCTTTTCTGCACTGGGCCTCACTCCAGATGTCTTCAACAAGAACCATGTGAGCATTGTCTAAACTCCTAGTATCCCCCCCTCGAATACTGCCCCTATATAACCCCCTTTCAGGAGTTTAGACTACAGCTTATGAAGATTTGAAGCTTGGCCCGCGAACAGCCCGACATGTGCCACACATGGCACTTGGACTTTCCTCGCTTGAATGCAACTTTGGAACATGTCTGAAGCCGATGGATGCTCTTTTCGGCAGGTGATGGCAAGAAGTCAAAACTGAGCGGTTTCATCACCTCCCCGGACACGTAGAGCTCCCTCGCCACTGACAATAAACTTTCCCAGTGCATATGTTTTTTGTTGAATATGCGTTTTCATGCGAGGGCGCAGTAGTAAGTCGCTGGGGTGAGAAGACTACTCTCAAGAGGCTCAATCGCCTGAAGCATCACCGCTGGATGCGCTATCATCATCAGGGTTATCGATGGCATTAACGCTATACAGCAGTCTAGACAGGTGTCTGGGAAAGAGGGGCGAGCTGGCAGAGGAGTAGGCAAAAAGCCGGGATGGTGGCAGATGCCGAACCACCTCCCCATAGCTCAGAGCAAAAATGGTGGGAAGCGCCTCAAGGTCCACCATCCTTGCCGCGGGTTAGTAGGGAATAAGAGTATAAAATCCCTATGTAATTTTAGTGGGGGTTTCCCAAAATTGAGGGTACCTGTTGGGGGTCCCTGTCATAAGGATGATAGAATGTTGGGGTCGATATTGGGGTCCCTGAACATATTTTGGGAAACTGCCATAAATCCTCATGTAAGATTTTCCCTTACCCCTGATATACTAAGCAGCAGCAAGCATCTGTGTGAGGAAGAAGGCACGGTCAGCTGGAAGCCAGCAGAACTGAGTCTCCAGATGCTTGCGGGCAAGACGGCCCAATGCCTTTCAAACCCTATCGCTTAGGATTTTGGATTTAGGGTTTGGGGTATAGTCCCCCTTATGTAGATAGAATATAAAATTGGTCAATATCATAATAAGATCCCCATATACCTCAGATTCTATTTACAGAACGGGGACTATCATGCCGCTAAGTGCATACCACAATCAGTCACCTTTGCTTCCTCAGGGTCGCTAGTAACTTCAGCACTCTGGTTTCCGACACGGTTTCTCGTGCAATGTGCAACTGCCACAACACCCAACATGGTTCTTATTCCGGGCGCAAGGCTTCCCAAGAAGAGCTTGAAAAACCAGTTCCCCCATTCCTCAACTCAAATGTTTCAGGCTTGTAACCCTATGGTTGTACCTTTGGTTTTGGGACCCTTTTTGAGGGACCCTAGGGGACCATATCAGGGCTATATTAATGCCATATCGGGGAAACCTTTTAGGGGTGCGACCTTACGGGTACAACCCTGGAACCCTTGATCAACGTCGCAAGATGATTGCTTCAAGTAACCCTAAACCCTGAACCCTATGTAACCCCAATATGTCCCTAAACCCTAAACCCCATATCCTAAACCCAATAGTAGCTTCCATTTTCTTTTCCATTATCCCTATATAACCCCCCCAGAACAGGGTAGCTCCTTGCCAGAGAATCTCCTGCATGAAGATCCCAGGAAACCTCTGATATTGGGGTTTAGGGTTTAGGGTTTAAAGGTTTAGAGATATTACCCGCCAATAAAGGAAAATCAAATGGAAGAAGAAATGGAAGATGAAATGAAAACTGTTATTATCTAGGGGTTTATAAAAGTTATATGAATACTCATAATCTAAACTCTAGTAACCCCCTTGAGAACCCCCTAAATGATCTCCTGTAAAAGCCCTCTTTCAGGAGTTTGACTATAGCTCATTTTTTGGAAACTCCCCAATACTCCCCAGACCGTCCCAAACGTACCCAGTAGCTCCCTGAAGGAAAACCAAAAAAAGTCAAAAGAATTCGGGCAATACCGAAAGCGCACCGTCCCCCAGACTACCCAAGTCAGCCCGTTCTTCAGTGGTAATAGTGTTGGGCCCAGTGTATGGTGCCGTGTCTTGTTGCCCCTTTTTTTACTGAACCTAATAAGGGAATCTTCCTTACCCCAACCCCTTTTCTAAGGACCCTGCGACTATCTTCTCAGATAACCATATGAAGGTCCTGATGTCAAGGGCCGGGAAAGCTTGAATCACCTAAACCCGAAACCCTAGTGACTCTGGAGGACTCAACCCTAAACCAGCCTTTCGGCATTCTTCGCCAGCAACTGATCTACCATCATCCAGCAGCAGGAGTGCACGCTCATGCGGCGCAATTGTCTCCACAAAGGCTTTCCTGAGCAGTTTCGGGTTCAGGGTTCTAAACCCTAAATCAAAACCCCTGGGGTGCAACCTGGAATCAACTCATCAGGGTACGGTCTATGGCAAAGGGCACTACATGCGACAGACCGCACCAGGATCGAAATCACATCTGCTGGCCTTGGGGCCCTTGCACCCTAAGCAGCTGGGCTGCTCACAGGGGACTTAAATTTCGCTTACGTCAGCACGTGACATGGCTATGTAGACAAGCCCCTTTTCAACAGGACTGAGGCGCCGGCCTCTAGTGAATAGCCCTGAACCCATCCTGTACACCACATAACTTACACTCTGAAATAACCCTGAATCCCAAATAACCCCTTGCGTTCCCTAACAGCAACCCAGAAGATTTCCCATGTGGCAGTTTCCATCAAGAGGGATAAGGAGGTTGGTTGTATAGGATAATATCACATGGGACATATTAAAGGTTATAAAAAGGGCTATGGAAGGGTTATATATCCCTAATTATGCAAACCCCCACGTTGGGATTGCGAGGGTATTTAATAGAAATTGGCGTTGGGTTGAGAGCCTCGGCACAGCCAAGCCAAGCATACCGATCACTGTGAAGATCACTTTTGCCCTCTAGACTCCATGCTGTACCTGTGGCGTTGCAAAGGAACTGCAGGCCCTGACTAGCCTCATAAAAACAAAAATGAACCAGCAACTCGCAGAATCCCTGCAGACAGCAACATGCAAAACCCTCACACGGCTCAACAAAGAACTCCTTTGAATCGCCCGGAGACCGCCCTAAGACCCTGCTGCATGCTCCTCCCTTCACCAACGCCTGAACACTGAGCCCCAACCTCTACCTCCCAATCTGTTCAGCCACGCTTCTCGTCAGCTAGCTCTTGGAGAGAACCATGTCCTTGTTTCTTCCACAAGCTCTCCTTCTGAAGCTGTGCCTTTCCTGGGCTTGGGATTTCGGGCTGTGGGGTTGGGGGATCAGGGGCTTCAGGGATCGGGGATCGAGCTTTTCAAAGTTTAGGGCTTAGGGAGTTTGGCCGCTTGTGTCGAAGCATGTCGGACCTCGTGTTCTGGAGCTTTAGGCTGGCAATGACAGCTCTACTATTATAGTCCGCCTTAAGTAGATACAATATGGGGTATATGGGGATCTGAATATATTATATTTAATATACCCAAAGCCATGTTCCATCTACTTGAGGGGGACTGTATTATTACTACTATTGCTGTAATTTGTAGTGCCATTACTATTACTATGGTCACTATCATTGCTATTATTACTACCATGAGGCATGACTGTTTTAATCTGCCAGTCTCCCTCGCACTGGCTCCTGTAGAAAATCACATCAGCACTGCATTTGCCCCAGGCATCCCTCAACCCTCAACCCTGCGAGGGTCTACGGTCACTAGTAACAATTATGGTAACCACAGGAATCATAGGAACGACAATAATAGAAACAAGACTAGTAACGGCTTCTAGAAAAAGAGGAGCCCAGGCAAAAAGACACTGGAAGGGCGTAAGCCCATGGTGGATTGACGAAATCTTGTTGCACTTAGGGTCCCCAAAGCACTGCAACTACCATTCTTGGCGATATCTAAAGAAGTGGTGCAAGATTTCCTCCACCCACAGTAGGACAAAACAACCTAAATCCCCTGAGGGTTCAGCGTTTAAGGAGAGTTACCGTCATGGATGGCAATAGAGATTCGTACCATGCCTCAATCATAATCGACGAAGAAAGGGCTGCTTCAGTAAGGTTTAGGGATTCGCTTCGGTCTGCTGATCTCTTGATGAGGAGACCTTAAGTAACTGCCATATGACTGCAAGAGGGTCCTAAGCTAGGGGTTGGGGCTACAAAAACCTAAGGTCTCTTGGGCTGATCTCTTGATGAGGGGATTTTTCATAATCCCAACCCCTATGATAAGGACCCTGCCGAAAAAAAAAAATCTATGACTGCAAGAGGGTCCTGACTTAGTGGTTGGGACGTTGAAAAATCCATTTGGTAAGAAATTGTAGTGGGGAGCTGCAGCACCAACATCGCAAGACTGCAATTTAGCCTTCACAAACCAGAGCCGGAGACATGGAGGACTAACAATCTTCCCCCAGGGCCCCAGAAGGGGTTGTATAGGGTTTGCGGTGTAGGCTTTAGGGTTTAGGCTGCATAAGGGAATGGACAAGAAAATAGAAAGCAAGATCCTTAAACCCTAAACCCTCCTAAATCCTTAAACCCTACACCTTAGAGCCTAAACAGTGCATCCAAGGCAGATAATGAACTAACCCGAGCCCTCTGCCTTGCTGCTGCTTCCTCCTCTATCCTAATAACAAACCCACCAACCCCCCAAATAAGAAATACCACCCAAAAAAACCTTCTTGGTGGTGACTAGGGAATAGGGGAATATCATCCCTGTATAGTAAATTTCCTTTTTTCCTTACTAACCACCAATCAGTGGGGAAGTTCACTACATTTTAGGAGGAGGCGATTTGTAGGGCATGGACCCTAAACCCTCAACAGCGTGGCTTGTAGGGAATGGAGGCATGGAATACAGGGAAAGTTACTATTGGGCATTGTTGACGGACAACTCTTGTTGTACGCCTATAAGCCCCCTATATAAACCCAGCCTCCATTTCCTTATCCATTTTCTTTTCCAACTTCTTTTTCCATCTCCCAATGTCAATTATTGGGATAAAACCCCTAAATCCTAAACCTTAAATAGTAGTTTCCATTCCAAGTTTCCATGTTCTTTTGCATTTGATTCTCCATTATTGGGGATGATACTCTTTGTCCCTGCTTCTGGCCTCCTAAGCCCCAATCCCTAAACCCTTAACCCTAACCCCTATGTCCTAAACCAAAAACCCTACTATTTGTCTATGAGCTTCTGGCCTCCCTTAACTTCTTGAGCTCGTCCTCAGGGTCGTGCCTTTCGGCCACCAGCGGCTCCGGAGACACGAAGGCCGTGTGGGGATCGGCTTTCTTCACCGTGCCATCGGGGCGCAAGCACATCCTTACTTGCACCGTTTGTTCTGGGTTGCTGTTAAGGAACTTGAATTAAGTTAACATAATGAATTTTCATAGTAAATAATAGATTTTTGGGTTTTCCCCAATAAAGTACGTTAAAATAAAATCCTCAACAGCAACCCAGTTGTTGTGGGAAAAAAGGCGAGCTTAAAGATCTCAGCCTGTAGGCTTGTCAACGGAACTCAAAAGTGCCTGGTCCAGAAAAATGTTTTTCTGGGAGGATGGTTACTAGAATCATTACAACTATTGTCACTAGTGGTATTATTACTATTATTTACTATTACTATCATTGCTACTACTTGGGTAGCTGAAGTGATCCCAAGCATCTGCTCCTGCTGCATGTCGCTGGCACGCTGGGCCGCAGTGATGGCATCGGAGAACTGGCCGCTTCGGAGCTTGTCCACCAAGCTCTCCTTGGAGAGAAACCAACAACTGCCGTAATAATTAGCCAAATTAATGAGAAGGCTGTTCTGGCCACTAGTCAACCACCACAACAGCAATGGACATCGTTTACCACGATACATGGCTCAGAGTCTAAGACACTTTTGTGGAAACACTACCCAAAATCAGAATGTGTCCACACACACTTGTTCTCGTTGTCCTGCTTCGCTCTAGGAGCACTTGATAATTGCTGATTATGCCGTGTCTCCACAGCGTCCACGTCCCGAGCTGATCCCTCCAGTTCTCGCTCGCGCGGCATGTTACGAGCGAATGATCGCGCGCAGTCTGCGCACTGCTTCTAGGCTCCAATAATGCGGTTTTGTTTCACGTGATGAGGGTTGCAGAATGCATTGCGCTGAGGACCTCATAGGCTTGGTTTTGGCAAGTCAGCACTTCCGGCAGTCAGAAAGCTAGAGTGTGCTACCTTTGAAGGCACCGACCGAGAAGCACATCAAACACCCTTTTGCATAACATCTGAACCCTGCGTCCACCATGAACATGACGATCTGCCATCTACCATCTACATCCCAGAGCTCGTTCAACAGCAAACTCCAGGGATCCAAGCACACAAATAAGACCTACACTGGGCCCTAACTAAGTCTGCAAATATTGCATACTTTGGGCTATTTGGATCCCTAGGCGAAACCTGGAAATCTATAAGCTCAATCTGCGGAGCTACTAGCAAGGTTCGCACAACTCATCCGTAGAACGTCTATGAAAAATGTTTTGGGTTTTGGGTAAACCCTCCCGTTTTCCATGACATTACAAGCTTTACAATTTCAAATGCTCGCATAAACCAAGCACGCAGACGTTGGGAGTTTCGGGTTTCAGTGTGGTTTCCAGGTTCCTGCTTTTGCGCCTTCTCTGTGAGAGCTTTGGGGTTTAAACTGAAACCTCTTGGCGCGATGCCCTGAAGCAGTCTGCTCTGCTGCGGGGGCCGGCCTGAGAAGGAATCAGGCTTCATACATATATCTGGGTCGGGTCTGTGTTGGGGTCCCCTGGTCATGGAAACTACCATATCTCCCCAACAAGTCCAGGATCCCATGTGATTGGAACCCCTACGTACTGCATAATACAGGCTTTGGCAGAATTGCACCCGACCACTCGACTAACATCTGGTAATGTCAAGAAATGAAGGGAACCCATGAAAAAAAAACGAATATATCATAGTATCATACTGCAGTTCTCATTAGGGGGCAAAACGGGACCCCAACTTTCGGAAACCCCCATTACAAGTTCTGACGGAGATCTCTGACCAATCTTCCCCGTGTGGGACGTCGTCAAAATTATGGTCCCTTTTGGGCAGCTTTCATACCGCGACTTTCAGGTGGGTGCCCAAAACGATCGTAATTTTGACAACCTTCAAGATGACCGCGCAAACGCGCATGATCGCGCATGACAGAAGGCTCACATAGGCCCCTTCACTTGAGCTGCAGCTTCTAAGGCTTCTGCGTCTCTTTTTCGTCTGATGCCGGCACCTGACATCCAAATTCATAATGCTTCAGCACCGTCTTGTTTAGGGCTAACTACAAGTAAAACATTCCTTCAGGAGGTATGAAACCTATCTAACACCAACTTCAGGGAGTAAGGCGACCGCATCTTGAGCAGTTTCTGGCGCTGCCTGTGCGAAGGGTGGCTAGGATCACCAGGCGTGCATGCTCATGTGCAATTCCCCTCTTTACGTGCCGGCAGCAAATATTTCCCAATAGGTCTCTTTGTGAGGGATAAACCTGGTGCTATAAATGAAACGTGCCTCTGCTGCTGAAGGAAGAGCACCGTTTTCTGCTGGCCTGCATGGTGGATCATATGCACATACTGCACGCTGGCCCATACCACACAATCACTCAGGCCCAGACTCCGTCATCACACCTCAGGAAAAAGTGGGAAAAGTTCATCACGTACGGCCAACAAGTTGGATCAGTTGTGACAGCTTCTCCATTCGAAAAAACTGCAAAATTTCAAGACAGCTGTACCCGAACACAAAGAAACTTGTCCACAGGCTCCGCCACATGGCGCATGGTGCTAAGGCAAGCACAATAGGAGCGTGGAATCCGAAAAGAATGCGCGGCTAGCACAAATGGAACCAATTCAGCGAAATGTGTCTCGTTGAGAATGCGGCTGTGCGGCGGAAGCCCTGATCTGCTGTGCGGCAGAAGCCCTGGTAACTTATGATTCAACTTCTTTTTTAATAGCTACAAGCAGTGAATCTGCTTCTGGTCGAGCCGGACAAAATGGCACAAAGCATGCTGGAACCAGGTCCCATTTACTTTCCATTTTCTTTTCCATTACCCCTATATAATTACGCCCAATATACTATAGGGATAATGGAAAAGAAAGTGGAAACTACTATAGTATGTGTCCTTCAACGCCTAGCCGAGTCTAGCTAAACTCCCGCAGCCACCGGGTCACACTCAAAGCTGCAATTTCATCCAGAAGATGAGACCTCCAATCCGCAAACCACAAGATCTGTCGATCTTGAGATGCTATCTGAGCGTTTGCCTAAATTACTGTTCCTGAAATGGTGTACACTTATGAAAGGTCCTGTGACGTGCGTAGGAATAGGAAGCCAAACATGGGCGCCTGCGTCATGCTTCGGCGAGGAACTACTCATTGGACCGGCTGGGCTGCCAAGCTGTCAGGTGCCACTCTCGAAATATCATGGAACACCATTCTGGATGATTTGGGGGTTTCCCAAAATTAGGGGTACCTTTTTGGGGGTCCCTATAGTAAGGAATACAGTATTTTGGAGATTATATTGGGGTCCCCCTAGTTTAGGGAAATTACCATTTTGGGGTTGTTGTATATGAAAGTTGCCAAGTGCAGAACCTTCGCGCAGCACAGACTTTGATACTTGGTAAGCTGGGACCAGGACCAGGCGTGCTTACGCAAGCCCAGCAACTTTAAAAGCCACCCCTCATCGACAGTGCCCAACCTGAACCCAAAACCTGGGCAATCCTAGATACCATGGGACCAAGCAACTTTATCTTCTGGTGACCCGAATGAAGCATGATGGATGAGGTACTGGGCAACAACAAACTGGACCAGCGGGAGCCGAATAATCACAATGCATCTACCGGTACGCATCCAGAACTCCCTCCCGATGCAACCCTAAACCCTAAACCCTGAACCCTAAACCGCGTCTTCCCAGTGGTCTTCACAACTACTGAAGCAGCCTGGTGCTGCTACCATTATACTCACAATTTTCGCGTTACAACAGGAGTTCTGGCAGCAAGCAAGATCTGAAATGTTCAAGCTACTTTCCTCGCCTTTTTGCCACTTGTCACGGCGCACTTGCCTGTACAGCAGCCGCGGATTGGAAATCGGCGAAGTCATCTGTGTCATCGACCTTGTCAAACAAATCAAACCGCCCAAAATCCAGGGTCAACATCTGAGTGGTTCTGCACATCCTCATGGCAAAAAAACACTACATCAGCCTGCACGCTCCCTGCACAATTGTGCAATCGCACAACTGCACTGACGTCATCTCTGGCCTTAACATGAATGCCATTGGGTAACACATACATGGGCTGGGAGACAGCAGATCGCGCGTTTTGGATCCTACCAGTGTGTAATATGAACGCAACAAAACCCTTTGGAGTCATCATCGCCTCTTGATGCCCCTTATTGTCGTCATCGTCCATCCGCAGAGGGTCCTAGAAAAATCCTACGAACAAAGTCATAAAAAGAAACGAAACTGGGCGCACAGCTGGTTTCGAATGTGTTTTTGTCTCCGCGGCTTTTGCCACCTGCAATAACATGGGCAAGTGTGTATTGGGATGAGCATTAAGGTCATCAGGGTCGGGGCTTTGCATGGGGGTTTCCCAAAATAGGAGTACCATCTTGGGGGGTGCCCATAATAAGGATCACGGTATTTTGGAATTTATGTTGGGTCGCCCCCTTTATGGAAACTACCTTATGGGAATTAGCGGCTAACGAGCCCGGCTTCGCGCACTTGCAGCTAGATTAAAGTTGGGTGTTGCTGCGTCGAAACCTGGCAATATCCTACTGCAGCTATGATTTCTGCACGGGCTGCTGCCTGATGTTATGAAGTATCATAAAGATCCGATTGGCGCATCTCAGCATTGTGAGGGCTCAAAACGATCTCCCTGCCGTTGGCTGGTGGGATCATTGGCCATGACGCTACAATCTACAAAGTCTGCACCGTACAGCAGTAAACTCCGACATGAAGGGTGATTAGGATTTCCTCGTTGATCGTCCCTTGCAACAGCTTCATATCGGAAAGTCAAACAAAACTGTCCATCACCTCTACTCTCAAAGAGACACCAATGCTATGCAATCTTTGCAGTTCAACCCTAAAAACCGCCATCCCCCGCACTTAAACCTTACAAAGCCCTTGTGCACCACCCCTTTTCCCACAACTTTAAGAGAACAACGGAATGAAGACCTCCAAAATCTCAAGAATCACCATGAGCAGCACGGCCGCCTGCAAGGGCGTGCCTGCAGAAGACGGAGGCGGGGCCTGATAAATGAGTGAAATGATGTTCTTTTTTCCAAGTTCAGAAGCTAGGAACCTAATCCCTGTATTCCCATACAACCCCTATGCGATGTCTTCTTCTATTCCCTACCCTGGTAAGGAAGGCTTTCTCTTGAGGAATTGGAACTATTGTTTCTTTTACTTAATAATTTCCCACGAGCTGTGTTGTATCATCCGCCCACGACCACAAAACCTTCCAGGGCACCTGCCAACATGCCAAAACCACTCGCCGCATAGCCGCATGGTCCAGCCTGCTCCCTTGTCCTGCCGACACGGTGCACAGCTACCACGAATGGTCGAGGTTGTTCGGGCCATTTGTTGCCACACTGCTAGCTCTGGGCCTTCTCTAATATAATAGTTTCCATTTTTCTTTTCCATTATCCCCTATACAACCCCCACGTACACCCATATTACACCCATTATAGTAGTCTCCCCTACCCCATTATTTCATTGGCCATGGAAGCCATTGGGACGTGCAAGCTTCGGACTGTGCCTGATTAAGACATCATGGCACGGAACGAGGCAGGGGGGATAATGTAAACTCATGCTTAATAGACCCCCTCCTTTTAGGGGCCTTAATATGAGGATCTCTATTATGATCCCCGCTAAGGGGGGGAGGTTATTAATTAGGGGTCTACATTAATCACATCCCGAAAAACAGCGGTGAAAGCCCACCTCCCTCACATGCCGCTCCAGACATGTCTGCAGAAATGAACGGTCTGCCTATGCCTACTTAACCATCAACGGCTGAACGCAAACAGAAAACAAGAAGCAAAGCAACAATCGTCCACGACAGCTTGTCAAAATCACCATCCTTCAACTGTTAACTTTCTGTTTTGTGGTATGTCTATCGCCCGCGTGGACACCTGGAGCTGATTGTTGTTGTTGATGACTCCTGCCAGTACAAAACCGAACAATTAAGAAAAGGAGAAACCGCACGACTCCCATGTTGTCCGTATGTGTTGTCCGTGTCTTTGAAACATTTGGAAAAGTGAAGCGAGCACAAGCCTCGCATGACAATTGTTTCGGTGTCCAGTACCCAGGCGGACAGTTCTTCGAACGTTCATGCCGTCGCGCCCCCAAAAAGTTGGAAGTTGTTGGAAGAGCTCGTTCTGGCATCAAGATGCTACAGGATTCGTATCACCTAAGGGCCTGTGCTGCGCTGCTGCAACTAGCTCACAAGCTGCACCTGTGGATGTGAATCCAAGCGTCAGAGTGCCCAACTATCCCCAAACATGGCACTTGTGCACAGAGACAATACACATGAGTGCAACCACTGCGACGACGATTGACAAACAAGCACTTGCTTGGCCAGATCAGCGGGCCTGCCAGAGCGCCCCGGCAAATTCACCTCGTGCTCAGAAAATGACACGTGGTGTCAGGCTGGTGCTTTGGTTGTGATCGCAACCGACATCCAGCTCAACATGCCCATCTAAAATCTGCAAATCTCGCATGCCTTGATAGTTTCACCATCCTTCAATGACAAGTCCTTCCTGGGCACGGCAACTGAATCACAACAATGAGATCGCTTGCACACTGAGACTTGGAATGCGGAATGGTTGCCATGCGCACCCACTACAACCATCCAAGAATCATTGGAAGAGCATCCATCACTTCCGCCTCCTTTGCTTTGTCGACCCATGTTGCCTGCCATATTACAAACGTGCGTCTGAAAACATACAATTTCAATGTTGCACAAGATGCCTTGAAATCGGCCAAGCATGCGTTGAAATCAAACGCATCGCCTCCTCAACTGGGTGCTGAACAGATTACTTGTGCCAAGCACACAACAAAATTTGGGGCCAGAACTGTCGCTGAAACCAAAGCCGATGAAAGCGTGCCGTGACCCATTCACCTGCACTCCATGCAGCTTGACACACATGTGGGCGACCGTCCTAGATGTAGTGTTGACCATCAATGCAACCAGGCCACAATTTTCAGAACCCAATAGCGGCTGGAATCCACGACGCGTTCCACGTAAAGTTCATGTTCACCGTTTGGGATGACCTCAGACGTCCTAACTACACAAATGGCAGGGTTTACCACAGGCCACAATTTTTGAGATGTGCGCACACTGAGCGAACAAACTGTCAGCGCCATTGTCCAACAGACCTTAACCAGTGCATGTACTGACATGGAAAACGGCTTTGCTATTCATGATGACTCGTAATATCTTGGAATTACAAATGCACTCCTCGTCACAAAGGTGCGTGATGATAAGCTCGCTACATTGTCACAGGCTCGGTTCTTTGCGAGTTCATGAAGAATGCGGACAGTCGGCTTAAATTCGTATGTTTCTGTGCTTCACATTTTTGCCTTGTGCTACACTGCGTTGGAGAATGCTTGAACAGGTATTGCGGGCGGGAGACGAATCGTCAGAGTTTTACCTCTTGCAACGATGCGAACGTTGCCCCGCCAAATCGCTTCCTGAGGTGTGGCGTGTCTTAGATCGTACAAATTTAGACCCCACCAGCAGCATTAGCAGAATCCCTGACGAGCTCACAACCTTCCAATCCGCAGCTCGATGACCGGCAGCTGATGTTGCTGGTGGCACCTGCGCAATTGTAACGTTTTTTTCCAACGTTTGACAGACCTGGCTGACATGCTACGGAACAGGCATGAGATTGCGGTTCGTTTTGCTCTAAACATTCTGGTCTTGCCTGGTACACCTTCGCATCGCGCCTCAGCATTCGGGCAGTGTGCTCAGCATCCCCCTCTGAATTCACACATTGCCAACTGCAAAGCTCCACACTTGTTCAACAACACGTATTCAGCATCAGTATCTCCATAATCTTCCGCCATTGCACGCAAACGTGACACCACTGTCCTTTCCTCTGTCCAAACGTCCTGATGCATTGCTTGGTTTGCAGAACGAAACATGCCATGCATTGCCATCACATGACATGATATAACTAAAGAATATGGCTGTGCATCTTAAAACTGGCCAGAAGCAACATGCTGTCACATTGATCTTTGCTCTCATCAATGGTTTGGCTGGTCGATTTTGCCAACTTGCTGTTGATTGTGTTTTTTACACCTTCGAAGGCTGTAGCCAACAGCATCCTGCAACCAATTTGGACGCCCTTCAGCCACAAGACACGTGAAAATAATTTGTGCCAAATGCGGCAACAACACGCATGCAACTTGCATTGCATTAGGAAGCTGCAAGAATATGTGCCACCCGGCACCAATGACACCACAATGACAATCATGTGCAAAAAAAAGTTGTGTAGATTTCTGGACAAAGGGGGCAGGGCAACAACATGCAAGAATCGCCAGAGCGCAGCTGCCCTCACGGTCCAATGGCGGGTTTCAATTCAAAGCCTCCCCCTGCCCCCTGCAGTCACGATTTTCGGCACTTGTCCAGCAAGGCACCAAATACACCCCAGGAAGCTTTCTCAGCAGCTCTTCAGCCGAAAACCCCTCCGCATTTGCCCAGGCCCTAGCCCACGCGCACAAGCCCGGAACACTAGACAATCCCCCTAGCAAAATCCTCGAGCCTACACCCTTAACGATACCTTGCGAACTTAAACATTCACTTGAACTTGCGTGTGAGGATCCAGCAACGTGCCATTCACATTCGTACGGACAGATGGTTGGTCGGGTTGGGGTAACAATCATCGGATTCAAGACAAACGGGATTGATGATGATGCTGTTGCTGTGATGGATTTTGAAGGGAGTGTTCGACACTGGAGTGATGCAACACGTCAAGCTGCCCCGAAACACGAATTTAGCAAACCTTGTTTGCAACTGCCTTTTTGCAATCACTTCATGCTGATGCGGCGTACAGCTCCAAAACCTCATGGGAACGACGCATTTCTGTTTTGTCCAACGAGCCTTTTCGCTACCTGCTCCGTGCAATCCCAGCCCATACCCCGAATTTGTTCAAGCGAGCGCATACCAGCACCCCCGCAAGCCCAGCAAAGTTTGGTCCGTTCGAATTGCCGTGGGAGCAACATGGAACAATCTTGTTCCCGACTTTTTTTTTGCGGCTGCATGATCCCGAGCGGCACCTCACAGTTCCCACAGCAGGGAGCCAAAATCTTCGATTTCCTCATCGATCTCATGTGGTTGTGTAAGCCGGGCCGAGCCCAGCAAAGCAGGTTGAAAAATGGCGCGTTCCTCTTCCAAACTGGCTGGGCGTCTTTGGGGTTGCCAAACACTCTCATCAGGATGAGTTGCCTAACGGCTTGCCCACGTTTCCACATGAAATTCATCATGGTCATCTCACTAGCAACATTCCGCGCAAGCACTTCACAAGAGATGCTGGTCGTGGCTACTCATGGCACACAGTCAACACGTCGGCTACCATGTCTGGCCGAATCCGGAGAGGAAGCCTCTGAGGAACTGTTAGGGACCTTTTTTTGGCGCGTACCTTTTTACCGCCAACTGTCCCCAGGTCCCACATTCCTTGAAGTGAAAAATATGGAATTCCAGTCCATGGCATTTGGAAGTCATCGTACATTGCTGGTTGTGACATTATTTTGCCCTGCGCTATTGTATTTGGCCACATGGACAGGCCGCAACAGATTGAGCTTGGTCGGTGCTGTTATTCTGGCCAATTTTTGCGGCGAAGAGGTGCGGAGAGACTGTGGCCATTTCAACATGACCCCGTGCTAGGTTTACTCTGCAGGAGCAAGCCGACAGCATCTGCAAACGACCATGGTGAAATTCCGCATGGGGCCTATTGCTCTGGCCAATTATATGGACAGTACATCACATGGCCTTTGGAGTGGATGCAATCCTTGAGTTCACTGACAGGTGTCCCGCTTGCTCCCACTTCAATTGCAGTTCTGTGCGGTTGCACTGTTCCTGTCTAAGACCTACCGAGAACAGCTCTCTCCTTTTCTCTTGGGTTGCTCGGAAAGTACTTTGCAGGGGGTTTGGAAGCAGGAATGCCTCAAGCTTTTCTGACCATCCGTTTCGCCCCCTGCGAGGGAAAAACCAGACTAAATCGGAGCCAGACACAAGTGTCCAAACAGTGTGAAACCTAAGTGAAGAAGCAGACTATGCGGGTTTAGGCTAACCTGAAAGAGGGAAAGGCTCAAAGATTTCCTCTTGGACAAATGTCCCGAGAACACGGGCTGCCGCGAGGAAAGAAAAAGCTGGTGAGAGCTGAGGTGACAGCTGAAGGGAATGCAGTTTCCTTGGTTCCTGGCTAGACAGTGGGCTAACCGGGTAGCGTTGCACGGTTATAGCTAGGGTGAGACTGCTAACGGCTCAAGTGGGCTCACTGCGAACCTCACGACCTGGGCAACCAGGCTGAAGGTTCGTTAGAATTAGCAAGTAAAGCTTGGCAGGGTCAAAAAGTCTTGGTCCATAGAACGCGATCTACCATGTAGTGGGCTAACACTCTTGGTCTGGGAGCAGTAAGTAGCAGCGGTGCGGCATGAGATTCACAACCCCAACACCAAAAAAAAAAAACAGCGTTCGATGGTGGACAGCGTGGGGTCCAGCAGTACAAGTGCTCGACAAACGACATCCATATCAAGATTTCGAGAATGAACTTGAAGTGGTCACGAGGCTGCAGGATTCTGGGTGCGTAAACGTAACCTTTTGCAGCGGGGCGCTACTGTTCCAAATGGTTTCGGAATCACGTGCATCTGTGCACTTGTATGGTGATGGGCGTGAATGTGAATGGCTGGCAATGATTAGCCCAACGACGGTGCAAGCTACGTCCGAATCGAAACAGGACTGGATACCTTGGCCTGGGCGTCAGGCACGCCACCGCACGCAGCAGAGCTGAAAGAAACATTGCTTGAACTTGAGAGTTGCAGGGCCTTGGTGCACTCCACCGCATTGTTTGACAGGGCGCGCTGGATGTAGCAGGAGAAAAATATGGTCCTGATGAGAATCACAAGGGATGGGACGCAAGCCAGGTCTTCAGAGCATCCGGCGCGCAGCGCTTGGGAATGCTTGCATCGGATGTTCTTCTGAGCACGCACGGCGATGCAGTTTACATTGATTTGTTCAATCAAGTTTTGCTTGTTAATTTTGCGATGAAATGAGGCCAAGGGGTCTCACCCGCAAGCACTTACGAGCGCGCAGTGATACCGCGGAAATTGCGTGGCGTACACCTGCTGCGTTTGTGCATGAGAAGTGGACACGCGATCGTGATGCTGCAGTGACAACGTTGGCCATGAGGCCCAGGATGTTGCTCCATCGTGGCTGGTCGTTGAAGCGTCTTTGTTCGCTCAAGGCGAATACAGAGAAGACCAGCGCACATGGGCGTGGTGAAGGCTGTGGGTAGGGTGGGCCTCCTAGGGGCACACCAGAAAGCAATAGTCGCGGCCAACACTAGCGAACAAACGGGGTGGTGGAAGGGCTCCGCCGCCATCTACTCAAGGTTGACGGTTTGGTTGCCTTTTCTTGGGTTGTTGCTGGCTCAAGTGGAGTGCCGCCGTCAGACGGGGCAGTTGCCAGTGAGCAGGTCACAAACCGGATGATGAGATTTTTCCTCTGCCTTTGTTGCCGCCTCCTCAGGTTCCAACTTCGAACTGTGCTCGTTCGCAGAACAAATGTACCAGTGAGATGCGTGCGTGGAAGTATGATGTCGGTTTGATTCATTTTCTGAATCTTCCGCGAACGGGCACCAGCTGACACATTAAGAAGCTCTCCGGCAAAGAACGCGTGAGACACTTGCTTAATTTGAGCAAGGATGCTGGCCGTTTCCACCGGGAGTTTTTTATTTTTTTCCGGCCAATCCGCGGTCCCAGTGCGAGGCATGACGGGAAGCCAAACTCCAAGGCGACCCGTGGCACACTGCGAAAGTCCAAGGCAGGAAAAGTCCACGGCTGGAAAAAAATCCAGGGCTCACGGCGAGGCCCGCAGGGGCAGTCGGCTGGCCAGCGGTGGAGCAGAGAAGGTCTCAGCGAGGACATCACTGAGATCGAGTGCCGCCCCGTCAACGTTGGCAGCTTTTCCCAGCGGGAGGGAAGGGAGGCTGGCTGCCACAGCGCGGGC